GAAGACCAGGATGCTTCAATAGCGGCCTTCAGCTCTTCTGCATTTATTGAAGTATATATGTGTATATACTTTATTTTAATCCAATGACACCAAAAATGAAGATTACAGCAATGATGGGGAGTATTTTATCCCACTTACACAAACAATGGGGATTATTTTACAGTGGGATTTTTTTTTTTAATCCACTGACACCAACAGTGGGGATTTTTGTATCCCACTAACACCAATGATGGGGATTATTTTATTCCACTGACACAAACAATGGAGCCCATTTTACTCCCATTTACATCAATTATGGGGATTATAACCCACTGACACCAACGATGGGGATTGACATTAATGACCGTACTGAAGGGGAGCAGCTCCAGACTGAAGGTTAGTATTGCAACAAAAGGAGGTTTTATTAGGTTATCTTTCAATATATATATTATTATTATACAGTATTTATAAAGCGCCAATAGTTCGCTCAGCGCTGTACATTACAAAGGGGGACAGAACATGTGACAGAACAATACCAATACAATGCAAAACATGAGGGGATCGAGGGCCCTGCTCCTTGGAGCTTACAATCTAGGAGGGAGGGGATGGTGGCACAGGAGGAGATAGCTGTGGGGGATGGAGTGGTAGGAGATTGGAGGAGGTTGGCAAATTAGAGGGGGTGGGGAAGGCTTCCCTGAAGAGATGGGTTTTCAGGGTGCGCCTAAAGGAGAGGAGAGTAGGTGATAGTCTGATGGGTTGGGGCAGGGAGTTCCAGAGGATGGGTGACACCCTGGAGAAGTCCTGGAGGCGGGCATGGGAGGAGGAGACCAGGGAACATATATACACACCAGCCAGGTCCCCAGTAGTGGCCAGTTAGCACAGAACAGTGGCCAGTCAGTGTCTATCCAAGAATGAGGATGTGGGGGATGGAAAAAGCGAGGAGCCCATCCCACACTCTACTACTGATAGGACTCTAGGATAAGATCCTTCTGGAATATATATTGGAATTCTATTTTGCAACCTCCGCCATTTTCATCACACGAGACTCGGGATCCATAACTTAAAAAAAAAAAAGTATAAAAATAGAACCAAATCTATTATTAATGGCCGCGGGCGGCCAGGATTGGCTCGTGGGATATTTAAGGGGCCAGCGCCCGGTGAGTCAAATATTTTGCAATCTTTTTAAGCTGCAGCAGAAAGGTCAGTGACGGCTTTGTGTGGCAGGAGCACAGATAATTATCTCCGGCTACCATTTATAGATCAGGCTGGTAAAAGACACCACCTGGTGTGCCCTTTAACCCCGCCGCGCACATGCTGCAACATAAACACGCTGGAAAGGATGTGCGCAAGAAAAACACGGGAGGGCGGGTATGGAGAGGGAGCCGGCGGAGAGTCACAGCACAACCGAACGACAGTATATAAACCTGGAAGTGGAAAATCACTTTTTGGAAAAAATAAATAGTCGTCGTCGTCATCGATTTGTTCAGTGGGAGCACAGATCAATAGACCACCATAAAATAGACCCCCTCCAGTGACAATAGATCCCCAGCATTCAGCATCAATAGACCTTCCAGCACAACTCAGTGCTGGAGGGTCTATTGATGCTGAATGCTGGGGATCTATTGTCACTGGAGGCGGTCTATTTTATGGTGGTCAATTGCCGCTGGGGAGGTCTACTGTTGCCAGAAGGGATCTAGATTTGAGGGAGAGGTCTATTGTTGCTGGCTGCTGGGAGATCTGTTGCTGCTGCTTGGGGTCTATGGTTGATGTGGTGGTATTTTGCTGGGGGATCTACTGTTGCTGGAGGGGGGATATAGTTGCTGCTATTTTACTGCTTTTTTTTGTTATCATTAACAAATGCCATACAAAATGATACTTGGCTTTGTATTCTCTAAAATGAGTGGTACTGAGAGGTGGGTAGGGGGTGGAACCAAAGGATGGTGTTTGGAGGTGGAACCAAAGGACAGTGCTTAAAGGTGGGTAGGGCGTGGAACCAAAGGACGGTGCTTGGAGGTGGGTAAGGGGTGGAACCAAAGGATGGTGCTTGGAGGTGGGTAAGGGATGGAACCAAAGGACGGTGCTTGGAGGTGGGTAGGGCGTGGAACTAAAGGATGGTACTTGGAGGTGGGTAGGGCGTGGAACCAAAGGACGGTGCTTGGAGGTGGGTAAGGGGTGGAACCAAAGGATGGTGCTTGGAGGTGGGTAAGGGATGGAACCAAAGGACGGTTCTTGGAGGTGGGTAAGGCGTGGAACCAAAGGATGGTGCTTGGAGGTGGGTAAGGGGTGGAACCAAAGGATGGTGCTTGGAGGTGGGTAAGGGATGGAACCAAAGGACGGTTCTTGGAGGTGGGTAGGGCGTGGAACCAAAGGATGGTGCTTGGAGGTGGGTAAGGGATGGAACCAAAGGACGGTGCTTGGAGGTGGGTAAGGCGTGGAACCAAAGGATGGTGCTTGGAGGTGGGCAGGGCGTGGAACCAAAGGATGGTGCTTGGAGGTGGGTAGGGCGTGGAAACAAGGGGTGACTAAGAAGGGCGTGTTAAGCAAAGGACGGATCCCACGAAGTTGCATATCTATGGAGATCCATGGTATTGGAATAATTAGCAGTCTCAGCCTGGGCTCCCGCCAGACCACGCCCCACCAATGCATTACGCTCCACCCCACAGAGCCTAATCATGGGGATCATGTAGCCTGAGCAGGAACATCTTTTATTACTGGTGCATAATAAAAATATTGCTATATAAAGAGTTACACACATACAGTTGTAACGGAACCGGACCCCGACTGCGCTTGGGTATTTCCGTTAGACTCCCGCTTCCCTGTCTGAACACAGATCCACGGACACCACCACTGACCATACAAGACTAGACGAGACCAGTCTTGAAATAAATCAGGAAATAGACTCCTATATTTTGAAGCAGATACAAGATATATACATTTAAGGGAACAATTCCCACCTCCCTGCATAATGACACAGGGTGGGGCAAACCACATCTAGCAACAAGAGATATATCAGCAGACACCCCCCACCAAGTCAATACACAAACACAGACATCCCATAATAGTTTGCTCTCAAGGAAGACACACAATAGAACAACGGGATACAACCGCATGGCATTAAACAATCCACAACCCCCCCCACCCCTATATTAGGACAGATCACCCTGTACCCCTAACAGGCACAGGGTGACTTACACATAATAGGGATATGGGGAGCAGAGACAGGAGTCTCCCCACCTCTCTAAAGTGAGCTGTGTTCCATGGGCCCCCCACCCAAAGTGACTCCCGTCACAACAGTGTATATATAGTGTGTATGTGTATATATATTAGAGGATTTCTATAGCGCCAACAGTTTTCTCAGCATTTTACAATATAACGGGAGACAATACAACAACAATACATCAATAAAGAGGGTTAGGAGGGCCTGATCCTGGGAGCTTACAATCTAAAAGGGAGGGGTACAAAAGGTAATGACTGTGGGTGATGATAGAAGAGGGGGATCCCCCCTCGAAACGCGTTAGCCATTTTCAAGCGTCCTCTTGCATGCGGAACTCTAGACCATGAACCCATATTGGATATGACATGCCTGTTTTTTGGCATTTGTGAGTATATATCTGCCATTTTTTATAAATAAAGTTTGTATTGAGGTCATGCGCAAGGCTGGTGCGCCCCTTTCTTTTTCTTGTTTTATAGCGATACCTTGAGCTGCACAGCACTGCACTACCAAACTGAATGCAAAGAGGCACGAAGATTCGTCCACACATGCTAGATCCCGTCTATGTGCGCAGGAGGCGGATTGACCAGAGTCTGCGTAACACAGAGAGAGACGGGGAGCGAGAGAGATACAAGTGTAGATATTCGAGAATCCGTCCTCTGAACTCCATCAAGTCTCATCCGATGGATTGGCAAAAAGCAAGAGCGGGATTAGCAGGAGATAATCATCGGAGATGAGGGACGGATCCTTTACATGTAATGATGTCATGCAGGATGACAAGGCACTGAGTGATGAAGGCTGTTATGGAGTGCGCTCGGTGCCAAACATAGCGCGTCCTAATCCCAGGATATGAGATTTAATACAGCAAACATACTGCACGGCAAAAATACGACCGATGCAGGGGCCCACTTAAAGGGCCCCTAAAGATAAAATTCCAGGTGAGCCCAGAGAGGGGAGATTTCCATGTATTAATCAACTACACTGGAAATATAGAATAGACCATAATAAATAACACACACAGAATATATATATATATATATATATATATTTTAGTCTTTTGATCTCAGTATCCTTCTTGCGGTGTAGAATGTAGCTTCTAATTGTCAGATAACAAAATTATAAAAAAATATATATATCAAATATAAATAAATATTACATAATCTCTATGTAGTACAATATACTATGTATGTGTTTGTATATATTTATTTATTCTGTGTATATATATATATATATATATATATATATATATATATACATATATACACATACACATATACATACACACACACATATACATACACACACACACACACAGAAGAAATAAATATATACAAACACATACATAGTATATTGTATTACTTAGAAATTATGTACAGTATATGTAATATTTATTTTTTTATAATTTTTTTTTATTTTGTGAACTGACATTTAGAAAGAAGCTACATTCTACACAGCAAGAAGGATACTGAGATCAAAAGACTAAAAGGGATGGGAGCAGCTACACCAAAATGGACAAATCCTCTAGAAATCTGATAACAAAAATGTTTAAATTACATTCAGTCAACCGCACAGATAAAACAATCCTCTGCCACCAAAATCATAAAGTCTAAATCTACTGCAAGAATGTATCAGAACATCAATAACATCTCAAAAAATAAAAGTTTATATCGTATCACCTAATTGTATATATATATATATATATATATATATATATATATATATATATACACACACACACACACACACACATATACACACACACACAATATTGTCAAAAGTATTGGCCCCGCCCTCCCAATCATGTGATTCAGGTGTTCCAATCCCCTCCCAATCATGTGATTCAGGTGTTCCAATCCCCTCCCAATCATGTGATTCAGGTGTTCCAATCCCCTCCCAATCATGTGATTCAGGTGTTCCAATCCCCTCCCAATCATGTGATTCAGGTGTTCCAATCCCCTCCCAATCATGTGATTCAGGTGTTCCAATCCCCTCCCAATCATGTGATTCAGGTGTTCCAATCCCCTCCATATCATGTGATTTAGGTGTTCCCCTCCATGGACACAGGTGTATACAATCAAGCCCCTAGGCATGCAGACGGCTTCTACAAACATTGGTGAAAGAATGGGTCGCTCTCAGGAGCTCAGTGACTCCAAGTGTGATGAGCACAACAGTGCGTAGAGAGCTTCATGGAATGGGTTTCCATGGCCGAGCAGCTGCATCCAAGCCTTCCATCACCAAGTGCAATGCAAAGCGTCGGATGCCGTGGTGTAAAGCACGCCGCCACTGGACTCTAGAGCAGGGGAGGCATGTTCTCTGGAGGGACCAATCACGCTTCTCTGTCTGGCGATCCCATGGATGTGTCTGGGTTTGGTGGTGGCCAGGAGAACGGTACTTGCCTGACTGCATTGTGCCAAGTGCAAAGTTTGGTGGAGGGGGGATTATGGTGTGGGGGTGTTTTTCAGGGGTTGGGCAACATTTTGGCCAATTTCAGGGTCCCAACTTTGTGGGAGGAGTTTGGGGATGGCCCCTTCCTGTTCCAACATGACTGCGCACCAGTGCACAAAGCAAGGTCCATAAAGACATGGAGGAGCCAGTTTGGGGTGGAGGAACTTGACTGTCCTGCACAGAGTCCTGACCTCAACCCCAGAGAACACCTTTGGGATGAATTAGAGCGGAGAATGCAAAATGCACTGAAAGCTGAAAACTGGCCTGGCCAGGAAGGGGTGATTTTGCGCACCCGTGCCGCCCTGTAGCAGTACTTCTCCTATAGGGCAGACAGGATTGTGCAAAAAAAAACAAAAATGGATCTGGCAGCAAAAGGGTTAATGTCGGATAACTGCTGGCGTCTTTCCCATTGGCTGGGATGGGATGTTGCTGTGCAGAATATATTATATGAAGCATATATTCCTCAGCGGGGACACAGCAATGAACACCTGGCAGAGGTTCTGACCCACCAGCAGTCTCCCCAATACCAAACCCATACTATGAGGACAACGACGACCTCCGGCCGGCACTGTGAAGAAGCCGCAGCCCGCCCTCCTCCGCACATCATATTAAAGCCTCCAGTCGCTGCGGATTATATAGTGTAATCTCCTGCCGCCTCGCCTTCCACCATACATAAGCACCATAATCGCACGCTTTCCTCGAATCCGCCATCGCAGAAATCACGCTAATCCTTTGCACTTGGCTCCATCCCTCAGAGTTGGGATTTCACACACAGACGTCAATACGCCGGGCACAGAGACACAGCTTCAATCAGCAGTGTATTCCTTCACCAGGGATTGTTACTATGAAATCCTCCCTCCATCCTCCAGTTGTACTGGCTCCTCCCCTTCAGTCTTGCACAGGTGTACCGGATCCTCCCCCTCAGTCTTGCACAGGTGTACCGGCTCCTCCCCTTCAGTCTTCCACAGGTGTACCAACTCCTCCCCCTCAGTCTTGCACAGGTGTACCGGCTCCTCCCCTTCAGTCTTTCACAGGTGTACCGGCTCCTCCCCTTCACTCTTGCACAGGTGTACCGGCTCCTCCCCCTCAGTCTTGCACAGGTGTACCGGCTCCTCCCCCTCAGTCTTGCACAGGTGTACCGGCTCCTCCCCCTCAGTCTTGCACTGATGTACCGGCTCCTCCCCCTCTATTTTGCACCGATGTACTGGCTCCTCCCCTTCAGTCTTACACAGGTGTACCGGCTCCTCCCCTTCAGTCTTGCACAGGTGTACTGGCTCCTCCCCTTCAGTCTTGCACAGGTGTAGTGGCACCTCCCCTTCAGACTTGCACAGGTGTACTGGCTCCTCCCCTTCAGTCTTGCACAGGTGTAGTGGCACCTCCCCTTCAGACTTGCACAGGTGTAGTGGCTCCAACCCTTCTGACTTCCACAGGTCCACAAGTCCACAAACTAGTGCCCCCTGGGAGTGGTCACCTCAGGGGTGCTCTTAGTAACACTTGGGTGTGGGACCCCAGCATGTGAAAAGGCACATGGTCACTGTGTTCAAAACACTTTTCCTGCACTGCGCCTTTTAGGACCGAGCCTTTTGGCTAAATCCTGGGCAATTTTTGCAACGGGCCTCAGGGCCTGGCCACAATCTGCACGACCACCTATTTATTTAATTTATTTTCTCCCACGTTTGTCACTCACTTATGTGTGTGTTTTTCTTTCTCACGGATGGAGGTTGTGGGTCCTCGGGCCTGCCCTGAAGTCTAGGGGGAGGATGTGTGGCCTTTTGGTTCCTTCCTCTTCTGTCCCTGGGGGGGTTTTCTCTTCGGGAGAGCCCCCTGACCAAGTACTTGGTGGCTGGCTTCGGCTGGCCACAAGGAATGGGGTCCGCCAGGCCTTTTGGCTAGGTGGACCAAATGGGAACCTTGTCCCTGTCAGGAGCTTCATGCCCCGGGGATCAGGGTAGAGATCCTACCCCTTCGGGGGAAGGACAAAGCACACCCCTAAGTGCACTTTTTTGTGTTGGTTTTGCACTTGCAAGTTTTTTGTTCACATACGGGTTTTCGTTTTTCGCACGTTCACGGACTTTAAAAAAAAAATAAAAAATAGGTAACAACTGGTGCCAATTCTCGGCCTTTTGCCTGTATGGAGTATAGCACCTAAGTGCATTTTTTTTGTGTTTTGCACTTACAGGGTTCTTGTTTTTTTGCACCTCCTTGGACAATGGAATGGTATTACATCCCTTTAGGCTTTGTTTGCATTACTTTCGGAATGTGCACTCCACTTGCTTACTAGAGATTGGACAGGCCAGCTATCCACTCCATCACCTGATTTAACCCTCTAAATGCTGGACTACCACACTAACCGTGTGCAATGTTCCCCTGCAGCAGTGTTTCTCAACTCCAGTCCTCATGGACCCCCAACAGGTCATGTTTTCAGGATTTCCATTATTTTGCACAGGTGATTTGATCAGTTTCACTGCCTTAGTAATTACCACAGCTGTTTCATCTGAGGGAAATCCTGAAAACATGACCTGTTGGGGGTCCATGAGGACTGGAGTTGAGAAACACTGCCCTGCAGCCCTATACACCTACACTTCAATGGGTTTCGTTTAGCTCAGTGTTTCTCAACTCCAGTCCTGATCAAATCACCTGTGCAAAATAATGGAAATCCTGAAAACATGACCTGTTGGGGGTCCATGAGGACTGGAGTTGAGAAACACTGGTTTAGCTGAACACTACAGGGGGTTTAATTCCACCCCCAACCCGCTGTCTAAAGCTAAAGGGGGAGCAATTGATGTGATTAACACACAACTACTCTTTTTTTTTGTTTAACCATTTTTACCATCTCCCCGTCTGAAGAAGCTGTCTGAAGGTTTTGTCAATTGTGACCTGACTGCACCTTAAAGAGGAACTTCAGTCCCCCTCATAGTGGTCCCGCAACCACTCTGACACCACTTTAAAAACACAGCGCATGGGTACCCGTGCCCAGGGGACCCAGCAGAGCCTTGCAGCACATTTGCACACAAGCAGGGAGTTTCCTGCTCAGGCATAGACATGCCAATCTCACAAGAAGCCCTGCACATGCATAGACATGTTGAGCGCAAAAGGAAACTCTGCATGTGCATAGAAACGCTGAGCCCACACCACCTTCTGCATGTGCATAGACACACTGAGCCTAAACCAAACTCTGCACATGCATAGACACACTGAGCCCAAACCAAACTCTGCACGTGCATAGACATGTTGAGCGCAAAGGAAACTCTACATGGGCATAGGCACGCTGAGCCCATACCAAACTCGGCATGTGCATAGACATGCTGAGCCCAAACCAAACTCTGCACGTGCATAGACATGCTGAGCCCAAACCAAACTCTGCACGTGCATAGACACACTGAGCCCACAAGAAATTCTGCATGTGCATAGACATGCTGAGCCCACAGGAAACTCTGCATGTGCATAGACATGCTGAGCCCATACCAAACTCTGCACGTGCATAGACACACTGAGCCCACAGGAAACTCTGCATGTGCATAGACACACTGAGCCCAAACCAAACTCTACACGTGCATAGACACACTGAGCCCGCAGGATAATGCATGTGCATAGACACACTGAGCCCACAGGAAACTCTGCACGTGCATAGACACACTAAGCCCACAGGAAACTGCATGTGCATAGACACACTGAGCCCGCAGGAAACTGCATGTGCATAGACACACTGAGCCCACACCAAACTGTGCACATGCATAGACACACTGAGCCCACAGGAAACTCTGCACATGCATAGACACACTGAGCCCACAGGAAACTCTGCACGTGCATAGACACACTGAGCCCACAGGAAACTCTGCACGTGCATAGACACACTGAGCCCACAGGAAACTCTGCAAGTGCATAGACACACTGAGCCCATACCAAACTCTGCACGTGCATAGACACACTGAGCCCACACCAAACTCTGCACGTGCATAGACACACTGAGCCCACAGGAAACTCTGCACGTGCATAGACACACTGAGCCCACAGGAAACTCTGCACATGCATAGACACACTGAGCCCACAGGAAACTCTGCACGTGCATAGACACACTGAGCCCACAGGAAACTCTGCACGTGCATAGACACACTGAGCCCACAGGAAACTCTGCACGTGCATAGACACACTGAGCCCACAGGAAACTCTGCACGTGCATAGACACACTGAGCCCACAGGAAACTCTGCACCTGCATAGACACACTGAGCCCACAGGAAACTCTGCCGTGCATATACACTCCAAGCTCACAGGAAACTCTGCACATGTGCAAATCTCTGCGGGATCCTGAAGATGGCAGCAAATTTGCATAGAATCACTGCAATATTCTAACTGAGCGTGACCTGTGGATGGGGCAAGATGAAAATAAGTTATCTGGGTGAAGGTCTACTTTATAAACATGTGTAAGCGAACACGCGTATCTTTATCACGCATGGTGAGCGCACTACCTCCAGTATCAGCACGGAGGGTCCATTTCACATACAAAGCCCAGCAGCTGGCCGGGTCTGATTCCGCTCACATCTGTTTCCATTCTAATTACTGCATCCCTGAGATTCGCCTGGGCAGCTGTCAGGCGAGGTGCTGCACTCACCATCCCAGGGGCCCCAGAGGCTTCATGTGTGGTGGAGCCCGCTGGTAAAGCTGCATCAAAGACAACATACAGACCTGACTGAAAGTGTATTTCCAGTCATATCGGGATAACAACAGATTTATATGTGGCCCATGTTCTTGTTCACATAGCAGGGATATATATATAATATGGATTTATTTCAGCAGGAATGTGGGAGAATCAGGGGCGGACTGACCATTTGGGAACTCGGGCACTGCCTGAGGGCCCGGGGTCAGTAGGGGGCCCCATGAGATGACCTGTGGTACCTTTCATAGGCTTTTTGGGTGTGGGCGAGGATATGATCCCCATGATCCCCTATTGCCTGGGGGCCCCATGAGTTGTCAGTCTGCCCCTGGGGAGAATGCAGTTCTGGCACTGAATGTACGTATTGGCAAGGGGTGCTGGGGTGAGCTGGCTGCTGGTGGATCTATGGTCACTGGTGGGGATCTATTTTTGCATGGGGAATCTATTGCTGCTGGGGAGGTCCTATGATGCTGGGGGGGGGGGGGGGGGGGTAATTGTTGCTGGGAGAGGTTTACTGTTGAGGGAGCAATCTATTGATGCTGGCTGCTGGGAGAACTGTTGCTGCTTTGGGGGGGATCCATTGTTGTGGGGCGGATCTATGGATCTACGGATCTACTTGGCACCACAAAATGATACTTGGTTCTGTATTCTTTAAAAAGGGGCACTACTGGGAGGTGGAACCAAGTTGCTCAGAGGTGAGCTGGGGGCGGAGACAAGGGGCAAAGGGGGGAATGCCTGCACCTCTTCTCTGAAGCTATATATATATATATATATATATATATATATATATATATTCTGCTAACCATTCCACATGTTGAAAAATCCTACTTAGCTCTCATTGTTGATGACGGAGCTGGAGAGTTAATGTTCACCATAATTGCCCCTGTCTGTCCTGTGCTGGCAGATCTCATTATCAGCAAACATTGTCCTGTGCTGGCAGATCTCATTATCAGCAAACATTGTCCTGTGCTGGCAGATCTCATTATCAGCACACATTGTCCTGTGCTGGCAAATCTCATTATCAGCACACATTGTCCTGTGCTGGCAGATCTCATTATCAGCACACATTGTCCTGTGCTGGCAGATCTCATTATCAGCACACATTGTCCTGTGCTGGCAGATCTCATTATCAGCACACATTGTAATCCCATAAATTAATGTGAACACTGTCTGTCCTAAGAAAGGGTTAAAGATCTGGAAACTTGGCTTCTCTATTGTATGTTAATGAGAGGACACTCTCCCCAGTCCCAGGGGGGTGGACTCGCTTTTCGCAGTACCTGGGGGGGGGGGGGGGGACTTGCTTTGAAGGAGCTAACAGTCGGCCCAAAGGTCTGCTTCAAAGAAATATCGGAAATGTAAGACATTTAAACCCTCTACGACCACATGGCACATCCAGTGCTTCAAGACACAGATGGGGAGGAAAGAGCTGGGCGTCCTCCAGCCAGGAAATGAGGCAGGCTCCTATGAATGAAAGAGGTGTGGTCATGGACAATCAGGCTGGGGAGGAGAGGGCTAGATGATAGTGGACCGCCACCAGCCAGGAAAGGAGGTGGAGCTCTATCTGACTTGCTGCAGGTTCTAATGCACATTGTGAGGAGCTCCCAGTGTGCAGTGACATCAGAGGAAGACGTTTCAATCTAGTTCCAGGGGAGGAGCAGGTACACCTGTGCAAGACTGAAGGGGAGGAGCCGGTACACCTGTGCAAGACTGAAGGGGAAGAGCCGGTACACCTGTGCAAGACTGAAGGGGAGTAGCCGCTACGGGGAGGAACCAGTACACCTGTGCAAGACTGAAAGGGAGGAGCCGGTACACCTGTGCAAGACTGAAGGGGAGGAGCCGGTACACCTGTGCAAGACTGAAGGGGAGGAGCCGGTACACCTGTGCAAGACTGAAGGGGAGGAGCCGGTACACCTGTGCAAGACTGAAGGGGAGGAGCCGGTACACCTGTGCAAGACTGAAGGGGAGGAGCCGGTACACCTGTGCAAGACTGAAGGGGAGGAGCCGGTACACCGGTGCAAGACTGAAGGGGAGGAGCCGGTACACCTGTGCAAGACTGAAGGGGAGGAGCCGGTACACCTGTGCAAGACTGAAGGGGAGGAGCCGGTACACCTGTGCAAGACTGAAGGGGAGGAGCCGGTACATCGGTGCAGGACTGAAGGGGAGGAGCCGGTGTACCGATCGGTAACGAGTCTTTATATGGCACTATGTGACTGTTAATTCAGAGATCCGCCCGGCCAATCACAAAGCGAACGCAGAAATCCTGAATTATTCATCCTGAAGAGACATGAAATATTAATGGCGGAGCAGCTGTCTGCCCGTCCGGAGCGAACATGACTGCCGAGTTTAGCGCCGTGCCAAGTTCCTCCACATAGGCGGAGGATGGGACTCCTGAGAGCCGCCACAAAGACGCAGCAAACTGACCGAGATCTGTTGCTGAAAGGGGTAACAAGGGAAACGATTGGGGTTGGCCCCTTCCTGCTCCAACATGACTGCGCACCAGTGCACAAAGCAAGGTCCATAAAGACATGGAGGAGCCAGTTTGGGGTGGAGGAACTTGACTGTCCTGCCGGACTAAGACGGGGGGCCATGAAAGGTCATGTGCGTGGAAAGGGCGGGGCCAACTCAACATTGAACCCTACGGACTAAGACTGGGGGGCCATGAAAGGTCATGTGCGTGGAAAGGGCGGGGCCAACTCAACATTGAACCCTACGTACTAAGACTGGGGGGCCATGAAAGGTCATGTGCAGGGGCAGACTGACACAACTCATGGGGCCCCTGGGCAATAGGGGATCATGGGGCCCCTCTGTCCTTGCCAAAATACAAAAAGCCTATGAAAAAGGTACCAGGAGCATCTCATGGGGCCCCCTGGTCATGTGTGTTGAAAGGCTGGCGGCCCAATACTTGGGGCAATATAGTGTATATACGGGGGGGCGGGGACAATGCTTGGGGCAATATAGTGTATATACGGGGGGGGGGGGGGGGGGGGGGGGGGGGGGGGGGTGGGGGGGGGAGGGGGTCACAATGCTTGGGGCAATATAGTGTATACAGAATGTGTTTCCTTTAGTGCAGTAACTGAGCATTGAAAACTGATACAGCGGCTCCATCTAGTGTCAGAGTGAAGCATTGCCTGCTGTACAAACTGAATCATCCCATCTAAAGATTGCCACCAATACTGGGTGAACACTGCCATCTACTGGACTGAAAGTGGAACTTCACTCTCTCAATCAACATTGACTATTTGTATTCCTTATGCTGCCAGCATTAGTATATAGATACCAAAAGTATATTATATTTACTAATTTTAAACTTTTTTTTTTTTTTACATTTCTTCAGTTAATTCCTGTTTTCTATGTCTAGGCAAAAGATGTCATACATTCCAGCAGTCTTCAGGAGATGAGGGAGGGTTCTAAGCTCAGCCAATGCCTGAGCTAAGGGCAGATGGATTCAAGGAAGTAAATACTGCATGAATCATCTGCCCTTACTCAAGATGGCAACTGGCAAAATATTCTACAGTGCCTTGAAAAAGTCTTCTCACACCCCCCCCCCCCCCTTGAAATGTCCCCCATGTTGTCATGCTGCAATGTATTTTTGTGGGATTGGATGTGAAGGACCGACACAAAGTGGCACATAATTGTGAAGTGGAAGGAAAATGAGAAATGGTTTTCAACATTTGTGACAAGTGTGGCGTGCATTTGTATTCAGCCCCCTTTACTCTGATACCCCTAACTAAAATCTAGTGGAACCAATTGCCTTCAGAAGTCACCTAATTAGTAAATAGAGCCCACCTGTGTGTCATGTGATCTCAGTATAAATCCAGCTGTTCTGTGAAGCCCTCAGAGGTTTGTTAGAGAACATTAGTGGACAAACAGCATCATGAAGGCCAAAGAACACACCAGACAGGTCAGGGATAAAGTTGTGGAGAAGTGTAAAGCAGGGTTAGGTTATAAAAAATCTCCCAAGCTTTGACCATCTCACGGAGCACTGTTCAATCCATCATCCGAAAATGGAAAGAGTACGGCACAACTGCCAACCTACCAAGACATGGCCGTCCACCTAAACTGACAGGCCGGCCAAGGAGAGCATTCATCAGAGAAGCAGCCAAGAGGCCCATGGGAACTCTGGAGGAGCTGCAGAGATCCACAGCTCAGGGGGGAGAATCTGTCCTCAGGACAACTATTAGTCGTGCACTCCACAAATCTGGCCTTAATGGAAGAGTGACAAGAAGAAAGCCATTGTTGGAGGAAAGCCATAAGAAGTTCCGTTTGCAGTTTGTGAGAAGCCACGTGGGGGACACAGCAAACATGTGGAAGAAGGGGCTCTGCTCAGAGGAGACCAACATGGAACTTTTTGGCCTAAAAGCAAATGCTAGGTGTGGCAGAAAACTAACACTGCACATCACCTTGAACACACCATCCCCACCGTGAAACATGGTGGTGGCAGCATCATGTGGTGGGGATGCTTTTCTTCAGCAGGGACAGGGAAGCTGGTTGGAGTTGATGGGAAGATGGATGGAGCCAAATACAGGGCACTCTTAGAAGAAAACCTGTTAGAGTCTGCAGAAGACTTGAGAACGGGGTGGAGGTTCCCCTTCCAGCAGGACAACGGCCCGAAACATCCAGCCAGACCTACAATGGAATGGTTCCGATCAAAGCATCTTCATGAGTTAGAATGGCCCAGTCACAGTCCAGACCCAAATCCAATGGAGGATCTGTGGCCAGACCTGAAAATTGCTGTTCCCAGACGCTCTCCATCCAATCTGACAGAGCTTGAGCGATTCTGCAAAGAAGAATGGGCAGATATGTCCCTCTCTAGATGTGCAAAGAGACATCCCCAAAAAGACTTGCAGCTGCAATTGCAGCCAAAAGGGGGTCCTACAAAGTATTGACTCCGGGGGGCTGAATACAAATGCCGCCACACTTTTCAGATTTATTGGTCACAAACGTTGGAAACCATTTCTCATTTTCCTTCCACTTCACAATTATGTGTCACTTTGTGTCGGTCCATCACATCCAATCCCAATAAATACATTGTAACATGACAACATGGGAGACATTTCAAGGGGGGGTGAAGACTTTTTCATGGTGAACACTGCCATCTAGTGGGCAGAGCCAGGTGAAGCTGGAGGAGGAGGAGGACTGGATGCAAGGTGAGGAAAGTGTTCTGGATCCGTCTTTATGAACTACATACATATGAGTGTGATTTTAAATAAACTTTATTCGTGTTCAAAAGACTACACAATGGCAGCATCTTCGTGATTTTATAGACACAAGGCAACACTACTGAGCATTTAAAGGGACAGCTACTTGGAATCCACCAGTGGGGAGCCTGGTGTCAACACGGAGGGGGCAGCTGAAATAATTCCCCGGAGTGGAGGCGGCACATTCAGACCTATATTATATTCATAGATCACAGCATTGAGGTGAAAGCACAACCACGATCACTGGACGGGTGTATGCACTGATTGGGAAGAATGGGAATTGCAGCGCCGGGGTTGTGATGATCAGCACCCAACAGGAGTCTACCAGCAGTGGGGGCGGTAATATCACAGTGAAGGGGGCAACCTTGGAGATTGGATTTATTACACTTTAGGAATTTCAATGGACAGTAATGCATGTTATATTTATGGACATTTGTTTGATTTTTATATTTGTATGTTTTTTTTTTTTGGGGTTTTTTTTTTTTTTTTGCTTATACGTATTTCTGATAATTAGCAAATTTAAGTGATTTAGTTAAGGGCAGCACAGTTTGTGATCAAATTTATTCATTGGGATTGGGCAATTGTCATGTGGTAGCCTTTAATCACTCGAGTACCAGCCTGTAGTACCCGTAATTCCCAGTGTTGATGGTTTGGCTGACAATTACATCACATTTTTTTTTTTTTTTTTTTTTTTTTTTTTTAGACACATAGAGCTTTCTTTTTTTGGTATTTAATAATAGATTTTTTGTGTGTTTGTTTGTTTTTTTAGACAGATAGAGCTTTCTTTTGGTGGTATTTAATAATAACTTTTTGTGTGTTTGTTTGTTTTCTTAGACAGATAGAGCTTTCTTTTGGGGGTAGTTAATGGCTGTTTTTTTTTTGCTTTTTTTTTGTTTGTTTTTGGGAGGTTTTTTTTTAGACAGATAGAGCTTTCTTTTGGGGGTATTTAATAATGGCTTTACTTTGTTTTTGTTTGTTTTGTTTTTTTTTTTTTTTATTAGACAGATAGAGCTTTCTTCTGGTGGTATTTAATAATGGCTGTTTTTTTATTTTATTTTATTTATTTTTTTAGACAGATAGAGCTTTCTTTTGGGGGTAGTTAATAATGGCTGTTTTTTCTGATTTCTTTTTTTTTCCAGACAAATAGAGCTTTCTTTTGGTGGTATTTAATAATGGCTGTTTTTTCCTTTTTTTGTTTGTTTTTGGGTTTTTTTTTAGACAGATAGAGCTTTCTTTTGGTGGTATTTAATAATGGCTTTAATTTGTTTTTGTTTGTTTTGTTTTTTTTAGACAGATAGAGCTTTTTTGGGGGGTATATAATAATGGCTGTTTTTTCTGATTTCTTTTTTTTTCCAGACAGATAGAGCTTTCTTCTGGTGGTATTTAATAAAGGCTGTTTTTTCCTTTTTTTTTTTTTTTTTGTTTTTGGGGTTTTTTTTAGACAGAGCTTTCTTTTGGTGGTATTTATTAACTTTTTTTGTTTGTTTGTTTTTTTTAGACAGATAGAGCTTTCTTCTGGTGGTATTTAATAATGGCTGTTTTTTCCTTTTTTTTTGTTTGTTTTTGGTTTTTTTTTTTTTTTTTAGACAGAGCTTTCTTTTGGTGGTATTTATTAACTTTTTTTGTTTGTTTGTTTTTTTAGACAGATAGAGCTTTCTTCTGGTGGTATTTAATAATGGCTGTTTTTTATTTTGTTTGTGTTTGTTCTTTTTTTTTTTTAGAAAAGTAGAGCTTTCTTTTGGGGGTAGTTAATAATGGCTTTAATTTGTTTTTGTTTTTTTTTTTTTGGGTTTTTTTATTAGACAGATAGAGCTTTTTTGGGGGGTATTTAATAATGGCTGTTTTTTCTTTTCTTTTTTTTTTTCTTTCAGATAGATAGAGCTTTCTTTTGGTGGTATTTAATAATGGCTGTTTTTTCCTTTTTTTGTTTGTTTTTTTTTTGTTTGTTTTTTTAGACAGATAGAGCTTTCTTTTGGTG